ACACACACACACACACACACACACACACAGAGAGAGAGAGAGAGAGAGAGAGACAGAGAGAGAAAGAGACAGAGAGAGAGAGAGAGAGACAGAGAGAGAAAGAGACAGAGAGAGAGAGAGAGAGACAGAGAGAGAGAGAGAGAGACAGAGAGAGAGACAGAGAGACAGAGAGAGAGAGAGAGTCTTTATAATGTAGCCCTGTAAAAGAAAACCATTTCCAGCTTATTGACAATACAAAACTGTTAGATTCTTAACAACATTTTTGCAATAGTTCAGAGTCCGCCCATTCCTGTCCATGCCCTGTCGGAGGGGAGGGTCACGTGTGTTCTTTTAAATGTAGGGATGTTGAAATAAGAAGCCAGGCTCTTGTTAAGTAAACATTTGCTTTGGCATGACATTCAGTAGTCTGTTTCGTTCTCTTTGTCCTTAGGATCCATCTTTGGAAACATTCCCAGTGAGTAATGTTATTTCTTTCAAAAGAACAGGTTTGCCTGCATCCTGAAGGACAGTGTCACAGAAACGCTGCCAATGGTGAATATGACAGGAGCAATTTCTGGATATTCCTTCAAGCAATGCCCTCATCAATTAAGTGGTAAGATTTCCTACCAAATAAATACTAGCCACTATAATTTATACATGTAATCGTTTCAGATCCAGTCTTGTGGCATGAAATAAAATTGTACCATCTAGAATTAAGCTTCCCCACTAAAGAACTATCTTCTTATGTAGAGTAGAGCGCATGGATATCTGCTTTCTTCCCCCCCCCCCCCAAGCACACTCCCATTCATTAGTATTTCTTAACCCTGTAAAAGCATGTCAGCACCTCAGCTCTTACTTTTTAGTGACCTCTTCCTTCCCAGCCTAAAATTGCACACAAAAGCCCTTATCGGGGGCTGGAGAGATGGCTCAGAGGTTAAGAGCACTGGCTGCTCTTCCAGAGGTCCTGAGTTCAATTTCCAGCAACCACATTGTGGCTCACAAACCACCTGTAATGAGATCTGGTGCCCTCTTCTGGACTGCAGTCATACATGCTGTATACATAATAAATAAATAACTCTTAAAAAAAAAAAAGCCCTTATTATAGATACCAAATCAAACCAGAAGAAAAATAAATGCCCAGACTGAAGTGGCACGCATCTTAATAATGAAATGGGTGTTTTTCAATAAAGGAATGAGTGAATCTATCACTCAGTGCAGTTCAGGCACTAGGTCAGAGAGACAAGATGCAGACATACAAGCTTAAAGTTGTTCCTGTGTAAGAAGGACATTGGCTTCCTCACAACACCTCATAGCGGGAGTAGGAATTTGCAGAGTGAACCGAAATAACAACTGCCTCGGGAAAGCGGGTGAGAAATGAAGTCTGAGTCCAGGGCGCCAGTTGCTGGCGGAGCCCTTCCGCAGCTGCACCTGGCTTCTGGCGGTGCTCGAATTTTCTGCCTTTGTTTCCAGCTTGCAGCAAAGACGTGTATGTGGACCTAGACATGAAGGGCATGAACTATAACAGTTCTGTTGTGAAGGATGCTCGGGAATGCCAAGAGAGATGCACAAGTGACGCCCACTGCCACTTTTTCACCTACGCAACAGGGCGTTTTCCCAGTGTGGCGCATCGGTGAGTGAGCCGGAGTCCAAGCTCCAGAATATAGGAGTGCCAGAGCAAGGAAAACCACTGGTTCATTGTTATTTTCATCAACGTGAAGCCTAAATTTCCTTAACCCCCAAAAGACATTTGCATAATAACAACCCCTGTTTTGTCATGGAAAGCTCATCGAATGTCTAATTAGCATGCATTTAATTCATAATCAAGATTTTGTGTTTCAGGGCTGGAAGGTGTTTCAATGTGTAAACACACTGGCTGTGCAAGAATGAAGACCTGAGTTGGTATCCCAGTGCCCATATAAAAGCCAGAAGTGGTTGTGCCTGCCCTTAGCCCCAGTGCTTGGGGCCTGGGGAGAGGGTGAGGGGGCAGAGACAGGATCATTGGAGCCACTGGTCAGCTCCAGGTTTAATGAGAGAAGCTGTCTCCCATTAAAATCTTCCTTTGGACTTCCTATTCACAATTGCATACCCACATACCCCCCCCCCACACACACACACAATGGATAGTACATACAGTGCAGCCTCACAGATTCTGTTTCAATGACACTGTTATAAGGCAGACATACGTTTACCCTCTATCCGAACTAACTTGAAAAGCACTACATTTTTGCATTGGTAGTTTTGAGGGAGCTGCAACTGGTTTGGTTGGCAGTGCTCTTTCCAGTCTAACCAGTATTGGAGTAGTCCTGACCTAAAGAATCGAAACTTCAAGTCTGTTTATCTATCCAGCTAAGTGTACCGCTCTGTTCCTTCCCTCAGATGAAGTATTTGAAGCCTGCGGGCAAAGTTGGCGACTGTTTCATGTGGGATTTTGAAATCTTCTGGGAAGAAAACTATTGTGTAATAATAGAAAAGTGATCTGGTCACTAATGACTAAATCTGCCTTGTTAGCTTTAAATGTTTATTAGAAAATTATATGATTTGTTCTTTTAAAATAAGTTTGTGTGGGTGTGGGTGTGGGTGCTGTGCGTATAGATGCACATGTGTGCAGGTAACCGTAGAAGCCAGAAGAGCTATCTCTCCAGCTCCCAAGCTTCATTTTTAGATTGAGGAATCTTTGACATGACCCAGATTTGCACATTAAACTACATTTTTAATAGTTGGATTTTAACATTGACTATTCATATTCTACTTTCCACAGTTTTGAAAAAATAAGTGAATAGGAAGTAAAGCATCAAAGATGTATTTAAAAGTCAGTAATAAAAAATGGATAATAGCCTTCTATGGTTCTCTTTACTTCACCTCAGAGGACAATTTTTACTTCTTAGACTTAACAGAATGTGAACTGCGAGTCAGGAAAATGTTCCTAGGGTTTGTAAAAAAAAGCATACTTAGAGGGCTAACGTTACAAAGAGCTGGAGAAATTACCCATTTACACACTCCACTCCTCACACCGCATCAGGCCTGTCAGGTTGTCTGTCCACTGATGAGATAACATTGTTCCTGAGTCCACAGGGCCACCCTGTGGTTAGAGAAGCTGCCAGGATTCAGCCAGCCAACTAATCCTGGAGGTGAACACTCCTCAGAGTAATTCCTTTATTATTATAGCCATTTCCTCCCTGCAGATGGTAATTTCTTATCCTCTTGTGCTATTATATACTTGGAAAGAATAATATTTTCCATTTTTGTTTTATTCAGTAAAACTTGTCTTTTGAAGTACACTCAAACGGGGACACCCACCAGAATAACAAAGCTCAGTCATGTGGTATCTGGATTTTCCCTGAAGTCCTGTGGACTTTCTAACTTGGGTAACTATTGTTTTCTCAAGGAGGTATTTGCATCATGAAGCCTGGAGAAAGCTGAGGATGTGTGCCGTAGGTCAGACTTGGAAAATGGTTGATGTTCACTGATGAAGGAGACCCAATGACCTGTCACTGTCTTTATGTGACGTGGCTCATTATATCCTGGAAAGAATTTCTTCTTAAATTTCAAATAATAATCAGTTATTTTTTTGTAAATAATAAAAAAGATCTTTGAGTTAACTTTCTCCTTTTAATATAATGGACAAACCCAATGCCTATGACGTTGCTGGTGCCCTGACTGCCTAACACAGTTTCTTCTGTTGTACAGCTTGCATCAGGGACATTTTCCCTAACACGGTGCTTGCAGACCCCAACATTGACAGTGTGCTGGCCCCAGATGCTTTTGTCTGTCGGCGGATTTGTACCCATCACCCCAGTTGTCTGTTTTTTACATTCTTTTCCAAAGAATGGCCAAAAGAATCTCAAAGGTAAGAAGCTGCTGTTAAGGGTGACTTGTCCTCTTTTAAAGGCAGCCAATAGAGATGTGCTGCACAATCCAGATAGGACATATCTAAGTAGAAGGCAAATGCCAGACTCTTTGAGATAAGTGGGGCCTGCTGAAAGGGACATCAGGAGGGAAGACTCTGGGAACACTGACCATAGCGCAAGTTCTAAGGCCCTTTGAAAAGTTCTCGGTGACATATAGTTTAGTGGCACATTGTGACTGGATGTTTCAAGAGCAGAGATAGGGACGTGGTCGCTATTAAATGCCAATGGGAGCTGACTTTACATTCCATATGCGCTGTAGCAGTGTTCCGTCTCTTTGAAATGTTCTACATGATTCATTTATACATCCCCTTTTGTACCTTAGAAACCTTTGCCTCCTTAAGACATCTGAAAGTGGATTACCGAGCTCACGCATTGCAAAGAGCAACGCCCTCTCTGGCTTCAGTCTCCAGCATTGCAGGCATAGCACCCCAGGTACACAGTGAAGGACTTCCTTCTCCAGCTCAGCAGCCCCGAGATAGACGACTGTGAAGGCTGCATGGTTCAAATCTGGCATGTGCTTTGTTGTCTAGTATTCTGTCATCCGTCCTTTTACAATGACACCGATTTCTTGGGAGAAGAATTGGACATCGTTGATGTGAAAGGCCATGAAACCTGCCAGAAAATGTGCACCGACGCCATCCGCTGCCAGTTCTTTACGTATTCCCCATCTCGAGGGTCTTGCAATGAAGGGAAGTAAGACAAGAGTTAAGGTGGATGTGTTTGGAGCACCTCTTTGTAGAATGCGTTATGCTTATACTGTTTTGTTTTCAACCACAGGGGCAGATGTTACTTAAAACTTTCCCCGAATGGATCTCCGACTAGAATACTTCATGGGAGGGGTGGCATCTCCGGATACACACTGAGGTTGTGCAAAATGGATAATGGTGAGTACTTGAAACACTACAACTGAAGGAAAGCATTCAAGTGAAGGTATCATCGACACAAAACTGGCAATCGACAACCACAGAGGGGTGGAAACAGTGACAAAAGCCTATAATCCCAGCACTCAGGAGGCTGAGGCAGGAGAATCAGAGGTTTGAGGCCAGGTTGGGTTAAATGGCAAGATTGTGTATCAAAAATGACAACAAACATAGACACAGAAGAGAGATAATTAGTGAGTTAACATATTTAGAGATTTTCCTTTATTCCAGCTTCTTTTGCCCAACCTTCCTATGCTTTAAGCATATGAACCAATTCTTCATTCAATTCTACATGAATTGATAAATTGAGTATGTGTTATATCTCTATCTTTATATCTATCTGTCTATCTATCTATCTTTTTATCTATCTATCTATCTATCTATCTATCTATCTATCTATCTATCATCTATCTATCTATCTATATCTATATATATTTCAAGAAGCATTTCCTGAAGAGACAGACCCAGAGGCTGATTTTTTGTTTTCAACACCAAAAGAATTTGTTTTGTTTTGTTTTAATTTTCAGTGATTAAACTATCAACCAGTGCATTAATTAAGTTATTCATTTGTCTTCCCACTTGATCTTTCAGTGAAACATAAATAATGATTTTATATATATTGCATAATGTCCAATGTTATGATGTCCTGTTAATTGTGATGTACCTGAGATCTAGGAAACGAAATGTAACACTAATCACTCCTCGTGACAGTTTTGGAAGTACAAACTCTTTTGTGTCAAATCTTTTACTAGGCTAGAAGGTGATTCCATCCTCAGCTTCGGAGGACCTGATTTATAGCACTTTTTGATGTCTTGTCCCAGCAGTTCTAACATCCTAACCAGAAAGCATGCCTTCCTAAAGTCAGAGGCTTGATGGCAATCTCTGGGTGACCCATGCCTCTCAAGAAAGTCAATTAAGGTGTAGTTCATCCATTCTCTGTTTTCCTCACGATAAATTTACCCAATAAAAAGGAACATTCAAAACAAATGTTGTCTTAATTCTACTTAGTGGCAGATGGGACAATTAGAAAATACTGTTAAGTGATGTGGGCATGCTTTAAAAACTGAGTTCCAGAACTGACATTTCGATAAATTGAAGGTTCTGTTTCTCACCCCTTTCTGCCTTCGTTATGTTCTTCTCTGTTGAATTTATAGACTCTGGCCTGTGGAGGTGACAGAACAGATCAGTGGCAGATTGATAGCTAGAGGAGAAAATATGGAAGAAAATAAAACTGTGTGTCCTCTCAGTCTGCTTTCTGATGTGTAAACTAGATAAGTAGGTTGCATCGTACAGTATTAGACTACACAATACCCTCCTGTAAAGGACACATCTAACCGAGATGTTTGTCATATTTACACTGTTGCTGGTCTCTAGTGTAATTTGACTTTCTAAAGACACCCAGCAATGCCACTAAAAGAAGTGTTTCCTAATCCCAAACGCAATGTTGAGCATTTTCAGCATTCTGTTTAAACTAATGGAACAGACATCATGATGTAACTACTACTAAAGGTCTTCATTGAGTTACTGATAATGTGCCCTAGTTACTGCTCGCTTACTAACCTTCTAAAGGTTACCTTCTTGCTTATAGGCTGAAAGGTTTCCTAGAGATTTCTCAACTAACAGAAGGACCCATGACAGTGACGCCATAGGCAAGTACTCATCATGCACTTTCTGTTATAGTGTGCACAACCAAAATTAAGCCCAGGATTGTTGGAGGAACCGCATCTGTTCACGGTGAGTGGCCATGGCAGGTGACCCTACACATCACCTCTCCTGTCCAGGGACACCTGTGTGGAGGATCCATCATTGGAAACCAGTGGATACTGACAGCTGCTCATTGCTTCTCTGGGTTAGTACTACCGTTCTTCTCCTTGGGCTTCATGTGTAGGTGAGATCTGGGCTACCGTAATAGTAGGTAGACACTTTGAAATTATAGATGATCCCATTCACTAAATGAATTCTCTCTCTGTGTGGAGAGCTAACTACAGGTGAGAGTCAACTACAGAGAAGAGTCAACCACTCCTCATCTGGCAGCCTTAGAGCAGGTGTGGGAACATACCATTCTGCCTTTACATCCAAATGCAAACAATTTCCAAAGACTTTAAGTCACTGATTTCCTGCTGCAGAGGGCCAGCATAAAGCTCCCAATATCCTGCCCTTGGGGCCATGTTTCCCTTCTTCTCTCTTTGTCTGCCTCCAAGCACATAGAGTTCAGTATACACCATCAAACTGGATCCCTTACTTTCATGATTTTCAGTATCAACCAAATGTAAATGTTTCAGCTGGGGAAGTGTGTAACCCAAGGCAATTTGATTGAGCACAATTCCCCTTTGCTGCGTTCAGTGTCCTCTCAGTTGTCTTCAGACAGAGGTGTACACGTTTATTTGTTTTTGTTCATTTTTTTTGCATAATGCATGCACGTACTCATAACTTAACGCTACAGTTGAGGTCAATAATCCCCTTTATGAACTCATATGAGAAAGTTCATGTGATTTTCTTCTGTCAGTGGCAAGGTTGAGACTAAAACCCAGCTCCTCCTAAGCTTGTGGATGTGCTGGAGAATATGTTCAATTCTATCCAGTAGTAGCAAATTCTATCCAGTGCTTTCTTTGTAGGGGAAATATGTGACTAAATGTTTTTTAGAATAAAATCACTTTTTTTCCGCCTAAAGATGGAAATGATTGCCAAGTACAAATAATTGTAAAACACAAATGTCTGGGAACTATCTAGTGATAGATCTTTTTTTTTTTTTTCACTCTGTGGTTTGTTCTGTAGGGTAGAGATTTCTAAAGACCTGCGTGTCTATGGTGACATTGTAAATCAATCAGAAATAAATGAAGATACTGCTTTCTTCAAGGTTCAAGAAATAATAATCCATGATCAATATAAGATGGCAGAAAGTGGGTATGATATAGCCCTGTTGAAACTGGAATCAGCCATGAATTACACAGGTATATAGAATTTTAGGTGGGAAGTGGTCTATAAAGGTGACCTAGATAACTAAAATGCTCAGCCTTGGAGGAACCAGTCTCAACTGCCAGGCCCTTACTACAGCAAGACAAGGAAAGGTCTGGAAAGATGGCCTCACTCTCTTGGGACTGACTGTCTTGCCTGAGAACACTAGCTTACACTCTGAGATGCAGGTGAAGAGACTCCCCTTCCGGTTTCTTTAAGTTCATAGAATGACATCATTTCATAAAATACAGAAATAGTAAGAATAATGTAGACTGATAGTTGGCTTTAGGGACAAAAGACTTGAGAACAGCACTAAGGAAATGCTACAGAACATGAAACCTGGTTAAAATGAAAGTTTGTGTCAAGAAGCATGTCTTATCCTTCTCTCATTCCTTTCACTTGGGATGCTTTTTTAATTAATTAATTAATTAATTTATTTATTTATTCATGGTTTTTCAAGACAGGGTTTTTCTGTGTAGTTTTGGTGACTGTCCTCGATCTCACTCTGTAGACCAGGCTGGCCTCGAACTCACAGAGATCTGCCCGCCTCTGCCTCCCAAGTGCTGGGATTAAAGGCATGTATCACTGCTATCTGGCTGTTTTCTCTCTTTCTTCCTTCCTTCCTTCTTTCCTTCCTTCCTTCCTTCCTTCCTTCCTTCCTTCCTTCCTTCCTTCCTTCCTTCCTTTCTTTCTTTCTTTCTCTCTTTCTTTCTTCCTTTATGCATTGGTGTTTTTCCTGCATGCATATCTAGGTGAGGGTGTCAGGTCCTCTGGAATTGGAGTTACACAGTTGTGAGCTGCCATGGGGGTGCTGGGAATTGACCCCAGGTCCCCTGGATGGGCAATCAGTGCTCTTAACCACTGAGCCATCTCTCCAGCCATGACTTGGGATGTGTTATATACAACCCTGAACACAAGACATGAAAATATTTGAGAAAAAGATAACACGGATATAATAAATAGAGAAAGCACAAATAAAGTCAAGTGAAGTGACAATCTTTTCTGGGGAAAATGACTGGTTTCGCTTCTGTGTTAGAAAGCTCTTCATCACTGACAAAATTCCTGATGTAACTACTTGGTATGGAAGAAAGGTAATCTGGGCTGTGGGATATCAGAGGCTTCCACCTGGGGGTGGGGGACCTTACTGGAGCCGTTGCTGGGGAATGTGCAGAGGAACAAACTGTTTACCTCATGGATGCTGGAAAGCAGAAAGACAGAAAGGAAGGGGCTGGGACCCTAATATGAGGGGCACATGACCTCTAACGTCTTTCCAGAAGCCCACCTTCCCCCATCGCCAACAGTGACACAAAGTGCGTTGAGGTCTTTGAAATGTGGGTCTTTGGGGAAGACATTTCAGATCCGAACCATAGTGGCTTCTGATAACAAAAGTATGATTTCCACAACTAGATACTCAGCGGCCGATATGCCTACCTTCTAAAGGAGACAGGAATGTACTGTACACAGAGTGCTGGGTGACTGGATGGGGGTACACCAGATCACGAGGTAACAACAGATTCATCTATCTCTGCTCTATTCTGAAATCGAAGAGCAGAGCTGATCCATAACCTTTGTTTTCTCTCTAGTCACAAGGCCAAAATGCGATTAAAGTAACACTGGTCAATTGCAGGAAGAGTAATAAAAAGACCAATATATCTGATGAAAAAATTAAATATGATTAACCCCCTCGAAAGACTATTTTAACTGAAGACTTTTAGTATGAGGCCTAATACTCCATATAAAAGTTCTAGCTTGATTTCTAATTATTTTGTCTGAAAAGAAATTCTACTTTGTGTCATAATTAATTTTAAACTTAATAACATCAATAAAATTATATACACAATAGTGGAAATAATGTCTTTATAATCTGTAATTCTAAAAATTAAGCTTAGTCATTTTTTTTCCTTCAAGATTTTTATGTAAAATTTTGACTTTTAAGTATAATTGTATACACACACATAATATTATTCCACTAAAACACTAAAATGATCTTTTTCAGGCGAAATTCAAAATACTCTCCAGAAAGCCAAGGTACCATTGGTGTCAAATGAAGAATGTCAGACAAGATACAGAAAGCATAAAATAACCAACAAGATGATCTGTGCAGGATATAAAGAAGGGGGGAAGGATGCATGCAAGGTAGGAAGGTTTCGACCAATCAGCTCCATCATATTGGAGGGAGCTTAATGCATTTTTAAAAACGTTTCGTCCCACCGTGGAGCACTGGCCTAGTTTGCCCTCTGTTGCTGTGAGGAGACACTGACCAAACACCACTTAGGGAAGGAAAGGGTTTATGGCTTACAGCGACAGTCTACCACAGAGGGCAGTCAAGGTAGGAATCGGAGGCAGGAACCTCGAGTCCAGAACCACAGCCGAGACCGGAGGAATGACCCTTACTGGTTTACTTCTGGGCTCATGTTCAGCAACTTTTCTTTTGTTATATATATATAATATATATATATATTATATATATATATTATATATATAATATATATATATATATATTAGCAATAAGAAAACACCTTGCAGACATATGCCCACATGCCAATCTGATGGTGGCAGCCCCTCAGCTGGAGTTCCCTCTTCTTGCGTGTGTGAGCTTGACAACTCAGATTAGCCATGATCACAAGCAGGAAGACATGTGGTGGGTCTTAGGTAAACTAAAACCTAAAATAGAAAATCTGGATGAAGGTAAGCAATGGGATGTTTAGATGTGTGTGAAAGGACCAGAATTTTAGGTAAAGTTGAGGTGAACAGTACTTATTTAATACAAGGACGCATCTGAAGCAATCCACGCATGTTTCCTTTTCTTCCCCTTTTCACAGGGAGATTCTGGAGGGCCACTGTCCTGTAAACACAATGGGGTCTGGCACTTGCTGGGTATCACCAGCTGGGGTGAAGGCTGTGGTCAAAAGGAAAGGCCAGGTGTCTACACCAACGTGGCCAAGTATGTGGACTGGATCTTGGAGAAAACTCAAACGGCATGAAAGAGTTCACTAGGTATCATTGCTGCATCCTCCCCTGAAACAAACTGAAGGAGCTTGATGAATGTAAGAAAATACAGACAGAAAACTTATTTTCAGAACTCCTGATCTGTGAGACTCATAGCTTGTTTTCCACATCCACGTTCATCTACTCAATGAAACCAATGCAACAAGGGGATTTTTTTTTTAAGATAAAAAATATAGCAGATATACCAAGAAAGTATCAAGCAGTGGTGCCATTTGCCTTTTAGTCTCTGTGACAAACACCCGAAGCAGTTCATAGGAAGAAAACCTCTCTTGCCAGTCTTTCCAGAGGTTTCAACCTCTGCTCTGGTTGACTGGCTCCATGGTTTTAGGCCGAGGTGAGGCGGAACAATATGGCGACAAGAGCCTGTGGAGGAGGAGTTGCTTGTTTCATGGTAGCTGGAAATCAAATGGAACCAGGAAAGAATTGGGGACGAGACTGGTCCTTCAAAGACATATTGTCAATCACCTGCTTCTTCAGTGACATCCCACTCCCTAAAATTCCTGTTCCTTCTCAGATAGTGCTACCAGCTGGAGATAGCTCACATTTGAACCCTCACAGGCACCATGAGATCAGGTAGAAATGCCAAGCGAACCATATAAAGAATTGTCAAATTCAAAATGAAAATCAAAAGAAATATGGACAAGAACACACAGTGTCCATTTATAGGAACCTATTCTTCTCTGCCTATGTGAATAAAGGAAGCCTGACAGAGTTTAATGATGGGTTTTGAGAGAAACAAACAAAAAAATCCTTGTCTGTTAGGTGTGTGTGTGTGTGTGTGTGTGTGTGTGTGTGTGTGTGTGTGTGTGTGTTCATGTATGTGCAGGTGTGTGGCGAGGGGGGGGGCGAAGATCACCCTTTGCGTTGTTCCTTATGAGCCAATCACTGTTTTTTCAAGGCAAAGCATCTTACTGGAATTTGGTGCTTGCTAAACTAGCTATTAAGCAAATCCAGGATCCTTTCTGTCTCTACCTCCCAAAATTGGAATTAAAAACATGGGCCATAGTGCCTAGCTTAAATTTCTTTCTCTCCTGTCTCTTCCTCAGTGTGTGTGTGTGTGTGTGTGTGTGTGTGTGTGTGTGTGTGTGTGTGTGTGGTGTGCATGTGTATAACACACACACATGCCATAAAGTGTATGTTGATGTTAACTGATTGTCTTTGACAATCTTCATGAGTCAATTCTCTCCTTCCACCCATGTAAGATCCAGAGATGGACATTAGGTGTTCAGACTTGGTGGCAAATGTCTATACCTATTTCACCGTGTGACAAGCCAGCTGACCAGGTTGCCTGTGGATGCTGGGCATCAAACTCCAGTCCTCAAGTATCCCCAGCCAGCATTTTTACTGACTGGGCTCTCCACTGGCCTTTTCAATTTTCTCTATGTATCTCCTCAAATTGGCTTAGACAAGTACAATTGAAGGTGCGAATGCAGACTCCATAATTTCCATAGGTCTATGTTTAGGAGAAGTAATTTATCAGGAAGTGGCACCTTGAACATACATCTTGATGTACTCACCTCAGAAAGTATCTCAGCATAACCTATACTCTCATGTGCAGCGTTTAGGTAAAGAACAGATTGATGGAGATAAGGTAGGCAAGCCGAAGCCTTCCTAAGACCTGCCAGTGAGTGTGACTCTGCAAAGAGCTGAGTCATGAGTGTGTCCAACAGAAAAGAAAGTTGAAAACATCCATACTACAGGGAGAGATACTTTAGGAGCAAACATGGCTGTGGTGAAGTCTTCAACATCCTCAAACAACTCCTTGTATTGTAAACACCTGATTTTTGTCCTGTTTGAACTGTGTCCACATCATTTTCAGTCAGTGTCAATCACTTACAAGCTGTCCAAAATGAAAAACGTCTATTGAGCACAATTATGTGAGGGTGTCTTGTTGAGCTTTGGGAATTTAGGAACCAGTCAATGAACTATCCCTCATTTCAAGAAGTTCAGAGTCTGTTTAATATGAGTCAAAGAAAACAGTTGCGCAAAATCTGTACTCTCAAATTGAAATGAGTAGGGATGCAAAGGGTCCTAAGAGATGACAAAGAAGAGTTAGCATAAGCTGAGAGAGTGGAACGAAAGGAAATGGTTCCGAGCAGGACAAAGCAAAGACAACAAGCCCCCAAAGACAACAAAACAAAGATCACAAAGCCATCAATGTTAATGAATCCAAAATGCTTGTAGAGTAAAACAGAACTGGGGTCGAACACTGTCCCAACTTCACAATCAACAAGCATGTGCTAGTATCCGTTACTACCTATTCATTTTGTGTTTCACATAGAACAATGTTAGAATGCAATTGCAAAGGAGAGGAGGTGTTTCTGTCTTCTCTAAGAGGTATTTAAGGAAAACGTAGTTTTTTTTTTTTTTTTTAGTATTTAGCTATGTGCAGCATCTTAATTCTGAATATTTAGTACCTGCCTGTGATTCATATATAAAAATGCTCTGGGCTATAGAATATATAATAAGAAAATTCACGTCTCCACACTGAAAGACTGCACATCTATGGAGTATCCTACACTTTCTCACTTAACCTTTTCTCCTGGAGCTACCCCTGATTGCCATCGACAAGTTCTTCAGTCTGTTCCAGAACATGGATTCCATTGCAGTACTTTTATGCCTTGACCTGCAGAATGTTATAGTTTGAAAACCATGTATTGCTTCTTGTTTCGTCCTGGAGACATATTGCTCAACAACCTCAGGGAAGATAGATTTATTTCGGCTCATGGATTCTGAGTCCAGTCTACAGTTCCTTGGCCCCAACACTGCAGCCTGGTGGACTCCAGCCAGATGGGAAGAAGTGACCTACTTCCTCCAGGTGGTTCCCACCTCCTAAAATCCCCAGAACATCCCACCATGAAGCCATCAGCAGAGGAACAGCCTTTCAATTAGCGAGCCTTCTTGAGGGGTGGGGAGGAGGGGAGAGGCACTTCATCAAGCTGGTGGGACTGGTGTATTTGTAAACTATTTTAACGGTTTGTTATTTGTCCACTAGATGGCGCCTTTATACTTCTCTGTCGCCCTCAAAATCCAAGCATGAGAACAGAAAACAACCTGCAAGGTTTAAACAGATTCTCTGTGAGCGTGGTATCAGGGGCGATTAAATCAAACTGCTTCCATTCCGAGATACCGGACTTTTCAAATGCAATTGTTGCAAATATCTAGCCGCTAGTGAGCAGTTTCTCCTCTGTGTAGTACTTTCCCGAATCCCCAGCTCTGGCTTCCACTTCCCTTTACTAAGTAGCCAGCGCCAGTGCCCACACGGGTCACTGTGCACCAGGCTGCCCTCCGTAGACACCCCTAGGACAGCAGAGGATGGTCCATCAACCCGTCCCTGTTGTCACTTGCCAGCCTGCTGCTGCCCAGGCTCCGTACCAGTCTTGCCTGCTGCCTTCTTAAATCTCTCTTCACTTCGGCATCTTCCACATCCAAGCTGCAGAATTCTTCCCCCTGGTTAAAGTATTGCTCAAATTATGTCGTACTTGTTAGAAACAGGCTGACTAAGGACTCCAGAAGAAGGAAGTACATTCCGTGTGGCTTAGCTGAGTACCCTGCCAAGGGCGACCGTTACAGGTTTGGCCTCCAATGTGGCTGGATGAGGAGGCTCTGGGGTCTTTTGAGAAGTCAGGCATAATGGGAGGTCTATAGAGGCTTGCCCCTCATGGCCATCATGGAATCCCAGTCTCTGGAGTTTCTCCACATCTTAGCTAGAGGCTTTGCTCTTTGCTGACACGCCCCATCCGTGACATGCCACCAGCCGTTATCCCCATCGAGTTAGCACATGCAGGCACTTAGCCTTTGAACATCCCAACTGAGGGCTAAATAAAGCTCTCTTCTTATTAAGTGGTCTGTCTCTTGTATTTTGTATAATAACACAAATCTGAGGAGCACACCCTAAAACACAAACATACATAAACACACACACACACACACACAAATGCTCACATGCACATATACATCTATACACACACATACATACATACACACAGCATATGCACACATACATACATACACCACACACACACAATACATACACACAAATACACACAGACACAGAGCACATACACACACACAGCACATGCACACATACATGCATACACCACACAGCAACATGCACCTACATACACCCAGAGAGCACATACACACAGCACATTCATATTCCTCGGCAGTTTACAAATTCAGTCATTCCAACACTCTGTGGGTCAGATCTCTTTGTAGACATTTTTCCATGTTTCCTTGACTCCCCCTGGCCCCATCTGACTTAGTCACACACCTACCCTGAGCCCATGGGAGCTACTTTCTGTGAGGTTAGAGATTTGGGTATTTTGTGAATCGGCACAGAAAGCCACCTAGAACTGTTGACCTGCGATCAGAATGAACTGGTTCATCTCACATGAAAGAGAGAAAGCCTGAGATAGGGAAAGCTCTGACATGTGGACGGTGTTTCTAAGTGAATCATCTGGTTCGACTGTTGGAAAAAAGAAAATTGGGAAACCGATAACAAGAAACGTTTGGGGACAGGGATTCCCCAGAAAGAGCAGAGTGAAGTCTTCAGAGCTTATGCCCACCAGAGGGCACAGTGACTCTGTGAATAAAAGCTCTTAGTCCGGGCTCCAGCCTGAAGGAGAAGTTGAAAACCAGTTGGAAACTCACTCCCTGCTCCCTCTCATTTACACTCTCTTCCGCAGGGAGCCCCGGGGTTGCCAACCTCAGTGGGAACACCCTGTAACAAAGCTATAACTCAGCGTTTCCTCAGCCCCTGTTCTGAGCGTGGAGATCAAGCTGTGCGGAGTCCCCTGACAAGATGCAGAGAACATCTGTGTGTCTGGCTCCCAGGCCCGTTTAGAAATGAATGCCATCGTTCTCCACCTGCATGGGGCAAGCAGGCTCAGAAGGGGCTGCCCAGCTGCAGAGAGGCAAGGCGACGATCCGATCCGCACAGACAGAAGGTCTTTCTAACCCACCCCTTCAGAGAGCTGCAGAGCTCCCCTGGCTGGAGACAGCGGCTCATCTGTCCAGATGCGAGCCCGGCAGTTGTCAGTGGGATCCCGCTGGCTTTACCTTCTAGTCTGAACCCCCTTGCTCCTTTTGTCTCACCACGCTGGGATTCACTGTTTGTTGTGGCTGAAATGGGATTTCCTCCATGATCCTAAGCCACCGAGTGGAGTGAGAGAGCTCTCCTAAGACAGTGGCTTTTCACGGGTGTCCTGTGCGCTGCGGGTGTAGCAGACTTGCTTTGTTTTTTTTTCTCTTGTTAGCCTGTACCTTGTGAGCAGAACTCTGTCCTGGCAAAGAATGAGGATCCCTGAAGACAGATGGTTGCCTTTTCTCCTGCGCGCTGTCCAGCCCTCGGTTCTAGGTGCCCTGTTGCATGCCTGGAACTAGACTTGTGCTAAGAGGAGATGCCTTGTTCCGACAGAAAGACCTGCAGACACAGTGGCGGTCTGGGGACTCTAGCCACGGATCTTACAGCCCTTTACAGATTGCTTATGTTCTCTCATGGGTGCCCTGGTCTCCAGTGGTCACCCTCCATCTTAGTCCCACACTTCCGCGGCTTGTTAATGTTGCTAACTGGTCCCCTGGTGTAGTTTCAATTATTTGTTATCTTTTATGTATTAGTTGATTTGTTGCTGTAGTTGTTGTGGAAGAACACTTCACCAAAAGCAACTTACAGAAGGAAGAGGTTTTGGGGGGCTCAGTTCCAAGGGGATAAAAGC